TTACTTCTCATCATCTCCAAGCACTCCTACTGTCTTCTTCCCCCACCTCACCCCACAGCCGCCCAAGCGACCCTTTCTTCTCACCTGCTCCTACAGGACACCACATCCCGCCTCCACATCTCACATTCTTCATACAGTCTCTCGGCTCCCCACCAGCTCAAGTTCTCACGCCTGCTCACAAGCTCCTCTCACCAGTCACCAGTCAACGTTCTGTGGGGACTGATCAACACTTGGTGGGGGACAAGGAAGAGAGGGTGCAACGCAGAGGCCTCAGCACCAGCGCTGAGCCGTCACTCTCCCAGCTCCTCGGGGACAACCCTGGAATTACTGCCTTTCTTGTGGGTCTCCTCGGTGCTACAGTAAGAGAAGAGGGTCCCAGCTCTCTGTCTCCTCAATTCATACATACAAAGCTTGCCTTTTGTGTTTGCTTTTTAATAAGCTCAAAGACCTTGCAACATTTAGAAGTAAACTTTGTGACTTCAAATCAGATATTGTCTGAAACAACTCCTTTATAAAGCAGAGGGAGGAAGCTGATATAATCCCTCTAAAAACACAGAGAAGTTTGAATTCTAACTTTTTCCTACTCCTATACATGCCCACATTTACTTTTTGCACTGGAAATAAACACTTGATCTCTGACCAAATTCAGTTAGAAAAATAAGTCTTACTACATAATAGAAGGAAAACTTTCAAAGTCAATCTACAACCCTCTCTTTCCTTCTTGCCCCCTTAAATACTCTTTAAGAATGCAATTTGGAATTTTAAATTTTTAAGTTTTAAAACTTAAATTCTGATCTTTACTCTGTTAAATGAAACACCTCTGAAGCCTAACATGCTCTGCTTTTAAAATCCGAAATGATGCTAAATCCTTACAGTAAGAAAGCCATTATGTTATGGTTAAACCTACAGATGCACACTCACTGATTGCAGCTGTACAGGTGCAGAAAAGTAGAAGGCCAACTGCTAATATAAAAGGAAACTGTGAACCTCAAAGTTTATTACTTGTGAAACCAGCAGCAAAGCTTTTTAAGCTTAAAAGTCTACCCAGCCTGTGGATAAAGCATTAGGAGTGCCTTTGTAGCCCCACAAGTTCATCTCAAAAACAAATTCCAAGCTTGACATCCAAACCTGCCTCTTCCCCATTTTTTTGTATCACAAAAATGTAAGTACAAAACCCTACATTATCTGAAGCAGTCTAAAGCCTACATAGTTTCATTAGATTTCTGGTTTAACCGTTTAATTACATTTAAAAGAAAATATATCTTTAACAGTACTTGTCACAGTGAGGTATCTTGCACTGTAATCTTGTCTTGGACACTTTTTATGTCACAAAATTCACATTATATCAACTATAAGAATGAAATATTATCTGCTTAGCAAGATACCTTAGAGATAACTGAATGCTCAGAAGTCATTTATTTCCACATTAAAAGGGATATATTCTATTAGGATACAGGATTTCTCACATGCATGATGGAGGCAATTTGTCAAATTAAGTAATAATAATCTATCACTTCATTCCAAAATAAATAAATAAAAGCAGTTGGCACACTACTTAAAGAATTAGTCCTTGCGCAAAGTACTGGGAGATTTTAAATCAGCCAAACAGTCACTTTCACACGGACAGAGCAAATTTCTCACAGAAACATTTACACAAAAGCATAGTGTAGTAATCAAAGGTCTCACTCAAGGATAAGGACTAGTATCTCTAAACATGACTAAGTGAAAGAGAGTAAATAACACTTTGTTTAGCTTCTGCCTTGACAGAAGGTAGTTTCCTGTTAGATTTTGCACCCTGTTTACTAACACTGTTAGGCACACTATTCTCAAATTAGAAATAAAACAAGTTTAAAAATATACATTGGAGAAACTGTGATCCCCAAACCACTACACATATCTGTATTTAAAACAAGCAACTGGAAGCTACTATAGAAGATAAAAATATTTAAATGGAAACTGAACTGGGGAAAATTCTACAAATAAACGAAAGCTCCTTATAATGTAAAGACAGAGTTACTTACACTCAAAGTCTCTTGGCAGTTACTAGGACCCCAGTTCTTTCCATTTAGTAGTCAGACCAACCGTTTACTACCCTCCATGCTGTGTAGATAAACACTTGTAAAAGTGTCAGCTCTACATTGTCCAGCCAGCTGCAAGAACTATATGTTGGTATAAATAACAACCTGAGCTTCCATCCGAGTTTACATATCACCTTTGAAGTCCAACAGGAGATGATAGTTAAAATAAGAAGGAAGAAATCACAAAGTAATGGTACACATGGCTGATATTAAAATGGGAAGAGAAGCACTCATGCCCATGTAGTGAGCAGACTATATGCTGAATTCTGCAACTTCGAACAAAATTATGTTGATGATTACCTTCCCTTTTCCCTCACAACAGCAGCACATTGGACGAAGAAATTAGCAAACACTACTACAAGAAGTTATTGGTTATAAATATTTTTTATCTCTCTAGTAAGTCTCCTCTTTCAAGCAATAATAAAGTTAAGCGTACCACTCTAAACTGTCATTTTTTCATACACTAATGGTATTTCAAAAAATTAATTCATCTGGATAAGGTCAAGTAAAGGGATATTTAAGTTATATATTTTTTGCCTTTAAGATTTGAGGCATTTTATGTAATATACAATGAGGACTAGTTCACTTATGTATTTTAAATACAGAATCCAACAGTTCTCCTTGCCATCATGTTTACAGTTTGCTACTACCCCGAAAGAACAAAAAGCAATTTTACTATCAGCCTTCAACATCCCCAGTGAAAAGGAGTATAACTCCTAAGTGGCAAGAGAAGAGCAGATGGGTGGTCAGACTTCCTACAGGGAGATATTAGCATAAAACCCAATTACATCTGAATACAGCCTCAAACAAGAACCTTTCTACTGCAATTACCCTGAACCATTAACTCTTTGCATAACACATCCAGGACAAACTCACCAATAGACCAGGATTTCTCAGTGACATTCAGTGGGCACACAAGCAGCCTCCTGACTAGTTACCATGAGACCTCCCTCAGGGGAGTCAACTTGGAATATATACAACAGTGCTTGAGGACTCAGGTCCTTTACCTTCCTACATGCATGATGGTTTATTCCTAAACTTACTGTCAGTCTCCTGTGTACTAATTTGTAAGCATGTTTATCACAAGGGAAACAAAACCATAATTCTCAAAGTTAGCTCTTTATTACTACTGATAAACAAAAGCAATAAAATTTTAAAACCCACCACGTCAGGGAAACATCCTTCCCCACACAGACATTAATTTAACTCAGATTAGCTTCATGAACGTATTCAGTCAAGGAGGATCTAGTTACTCTGCCAATGGAACTACTTGTCCCTTGAGAGCTCAGTGTTGCAAGACATTTTGCAATTCCAACTTTTATTTTAAAAATGAAGAGTATTACTATATCCAATGTCTACTTCATTTTTTTCCTGCCATTCATGTTTTACATCTTTGTTTTTCAGGCCGAGCAATGTTAGTAGCCCAGTACCATTAATGCATCTTCTCAACAGGACAAGATCGAGCACGAACCTAATCATACAAAAAACATCATGGGTCCCATTCTGAAAGGCAGCAAGTGCCCTCATCTCCCATTGATGTCAGACCACATAATGTTAGAAGTGTTAAGGTCTATTGTTCTGTCCATTTTTCCCCCTCCTGTGAGGTCCTGCCATATATTCATTATGAAAGACCATACACTACAATACACTGATATAAAACAAAACATAAGACCTTCACACATTTTTTTTTGTGTTTACCAAACTCCTAGCATCAACAGCATAAATAAGAGCAGAGTACACAGTGCAAATGGACATGTATGCATTGTTTTCCAGACACAAGAAGCTCTCTAAAGGTTTTCTTTTCTTCGAGAAATTGAACTGTTTATAAGAGCCAGGAAGCCCTCCCAAGGCAGTTCCTTACTGAAACAGGCAGTCAGCCTGCAATTCCCAAATCTGGAAAGAAAACCAAAAGGAGACCCCACATTTCTGAATCAGTCAACTTGGACACAGACTGAGAGAGGCTACCTACACATCGCTTCAACAACTGCATATTCTTTACCTGTAATCTATAATACAGAATTACCATTTACTTAAAAGTATTACTCTTGTAGGAACACAGCTGCACTTGCAAGGCCTTGCGTATTAGCACCAAAACTTTTTTATTGTTATTTTAAAGGCTGGTATTGTCCCCATAAAAGCAGACTGTGGCTTGCTTTGGAGAGGGGATAATAGAGAAAGACCTGTAGGTCAAAGCCCAACTTAGTTATGAAGAAGGTTTACACTCAATTCTTCTGGTCTGGTTTTGCAGTTGAACCAACTGGTTTCCCGTTCTAACCACCAAGAAGAGTTACGATACTAAAGCCTTAAAGAAACATATGTTTGTCCGGAGAAAACCAGTTAAAATATTTATTCAAACGCACATCTGCTGGCGTCCTGCCAGCCAGCCTCGTCCAGCAGACCGGCTGCAGGGGGGAGTTTCAGTTTTGCCCGGTCAAGAAGCGACTGTTTAACACCACCGGCGCCGCCAGAGGAGCTCGGGGGAGGAAAAGCCCTTCGGGTACGGTTTTCCCCAGACCCAGCCGGCACCCGGCTTCAAGGCGGGGGCAGCAGCCGCAAAAACCAGGCTGGAGTGGCTTCTCCTAAAAGCACCGCACAGCATCCGCGGCACCTCCCGGGATCCGGCATCAGCGCGCCCGCCAGGAGAGAAGGAGGAGGATCAGGAGCCCAAAACAAGGATCGAGAGCCCAAGTGCAACCACAGGAGAGTTTCCCCCCGTTCCCTCCGGAAAAGGGGGGACCCCCCCCCCCCCGCTGCCACCCCGCTCCCTTCCCACCTTCAGGAGTGGGGGGTCGAGGGGCCAGCAGTGCCCGGCCGCTCCCCGGCCCCAGCGGGGGTGGGCGGGGGCAGCCGCTGCCCTCCTCCTCCTCCTCTTCCTCCTCCTCCTCCCCCGGCCCGGCGCCCCGCGCCCCCGGCCCCACTCACCCGCCGTCTCGGCCGCCGCCGGCGCCCCCGCCACGCCGTTCAGGTAGAGGATGGAGAGCAGGTGGGGCTGCGTCTTCTCCAAGGCCACCCGCAGGTCCTGGAAGTGGTCCCGCTCCTTGGCCAGCAGCAGGGCGATGAGCAGCTCGGCCTTCCCGCCGCCCGCCGCCTCCAGGTCGCGCAGGTCGCGGGGGCCGAGGGCGCCGGCGGCCTCCAGCAGCTCCACCACCTTGTCCACCTCGGTCATGGCCTGCGCCAGGCTCTGGCGGCACTGAGCGAGCAGCTCCTTGTGCTTGGGCTCCATGGCCGCGGCAGGCCGCCACCAGCCAAACTTCGCCCGCCGGGGCCGCGCGTCGCCGCCGCCCCCCGGCCCCGCCGCTCCGCCACCGCCGCCCCGGGGAGGCGCGGGCCGAGGCGGGGCTGCCGGCCGCCCTCCTCCGGCAGCTGACGGCCCCCGGCGAAACTTCGTCCGGGCAGGACCTGGGCCGAGGGCGGCTTCGCTCTTCCTCCTCCTCCTCCGGGCCGGCGGCCGCCGCCGCGCTCCCCCTCAGGCAGGCGGGGGGCGAGCCGCCGTCACGGGCGGCTGCTCCTCTTCCTCCTCCAGCTGGCGCCCCTCTCGCCGCCTTTCCGCGCCCCCCGGGCGGCGAAACTTCTCCTCCTCCTCCTCCTCCTCTCCCCTGCCCCCGGGAGGGGGACAGCCGGGAGCGCGACCTGCGGGAAAGGCGGCCGCCGCCCCCCGGGCACCCCCCACCCCCCGGCGGGGCAGCCCGGACAACTTCTCTCCTCCGCTCGCTACAGGCCACACGGCCGCGGGGCGAGGAGGGGGCGGGGGGGGAGATGGCTTCAGCTCCAAGCGCCTCCTTTCATTCGCGGGCGCACGCAGCCATATTGGTTGCACAAGGCTGCCGCCTGCGCCGAGACGGAGCTGCAGCAGCGCACTGCCCGCCCGCCCGCGCCTCTCCCTCCCTCGCCTCCCGCCGACGCGCCGCAGCGGCAGCCTCTCCCCCGGCTCGGCCTCGGCTGCCGCCCGCCTTCCGCCCGTCAGTCAGGGGCTCCCCGCGGGGCGCGGAGGCGGGGCGCCGGCGCCCCTTCTTCCCCTTCCCCCCCAAACCCCGCGGGGCGGCTTGGCGGGAGGCTTTCCCCGTTCCGCCCTCCGGGCAAGCGGGGCTTCGGCGGGGGCGGGCGGGGACGACCAGCGCCCGGCGTCTCGGCGGCGAGACAAAGGCGGCGGGGCGGCGGCGGCGCTCCTCCCCGGCGGCGGGGCCGGGGGCTGCCGGCGGGCCGGGGCCGGGGCCGGGTGCCCGCGGCAGCGCTGCGGGGCCGGGGGGCGGCTGCTTCACACGGCAGGATTTATTTTGCCCCAAACCGGAAGGAGCAAAACATCAAAGTGGTAACAGACCGTCTGGGGCTTTGTCCGTCAGAATCTACAAAAAGGAAAGTTTTCGGACAAAACACCTAAACGTTAGTGATACCTGTTGGCTCCTCTTCCCCTCAAACGTAGTTTCGTCAGCGTTTCGCGGATAAGCAGAGACTGGGTAGTTTCCCAGCACAGTACCGATGTGTCTGTACTCCGCAGCAGCAGCGGGGTGCAAATGTTCAGCAAAGAAAAAGGAGGATAACAACCTTTCTGTCTGAAAGTGAACAGTCTGCTGACAGCACGGAGCAGTGCCTTAATTTGCAAACAGCTAGGGGAACAGGCTGCAGAATGACCACAAGCAATTATAATCTTAAATTCACGCTTTATATGAAAGACTTGTGGGTATGCTTCTGATACCCTGCAAAAATGATAGGGGCTGTAATGACAAAAGAACATTACTGGTATTTGTGTCAACCCTGTTACGTCCAGTAGCAACTGAAATTTTCTGAAAGACCTCCTGTCCAAACACTTGTATGCTTTATTTAGTGTCCGGAGGGCTGGACTGGGTGAGGCACAAGAGGAATCAATTGTTCCCTAAAATTTTCTGTTAACACACCCATTTGGAGAATTCAGATGCTGAACTCAGTTTCAAGTCAGTTATGTAGTTGCACAGATGATGATGATGGTGATGATGTCTCTCATACATGAAAACAGCCTTGGGTTACATGCATAATCATGATATGCATTCTGCTGCTACTAGTGGAGACAAATACAGAATAAAGGAATTTAGGGATTTATTTTTTTTTTTCAACCTTAAATGCTATTATTTAAAGCAATATTTGAAAGTATGGCATGATTTTTAAATTACTTTTTTTTATGCTTGGTTCATTGTTACTTACGCTCTTGTAGATTTGTTTCTTCTGATTTTGCATCCATGGCTTTCTTATGAAGTTCCTTTGCTAGACAAAACACACAGAAATTAGTTTTGTTGGCTAATGGCCGATGTTGTAAATTCCTGCAAACTGTGTTCTTTCAGGACAACTTATATTTATCAGAAATCTGCTCATTTCCCTCCAATATGTTGGGCAAAGTTTAGCTGGTAAAGCGATTGTACATTCCACAAATACTAGGTAACACCAGTATGCATTAATTGTTGTCTTCAACTCAACAGAACGAAATTGAAAGAGAACGGAGCGAAAAGCTACCGGTAAGAAGTGCAACCTGCCTGGTGTCGCCCAGGTCACCGCGGAAGCAGGCACGGCTGGCGGCTGGCGCCCAGGCAGTCCCCGTCTGCGCCCGCGGCAGAACGCGGGGCGAGTAACCGTGCAATTGAAAGCTTGTGTGAGGCAAATGCGCAAGACGACTGATCAAAGATTGCACAAATTATTCAAGCGTTTGCCACTTCTTAGGGTTTTCTAATCTCAGCAGTCCTTTGACAATATTGTTTTATCATGTGTGTGCTTATACAGTTTCCTGTTAAGAAAATGAAACAAACCGTCACATTTCATTACGGGGCACTATGAGAAGAGCCATACTTTAGATCTATGCATCAGTCCTCTGCTACTTGGAATAATAAGGAGCGATCTTGGTTTTCGTCCTCTGCCTGAGTCAGCACTCCGATATGTGCTCTTCGTCAGAGGTTGCAGTAACATGGGAATGGCATCGTTGGGGCAGGGCGTAACTCGGGAATCTGGGGTCCCATTCCAAAGTGTAGAGGGAGCTGTGCCTTGGCAAGTGTTTGCTCAATTTACTCCTGCCTTTCCCAAATGTGTGTCTTAGTCCTTTGCCTTCTCTTCCAAACCAAACATCAGTCTTCTCATCCTGGAATGCCTGCCTCGCCTTTTGCTTGCAGACCCACATCTCCCATTGCCATTGCTCAGATGGTGCCACAGAGCAGGCAAATCCCTCTCATACCAGGTTTCTTTCTTTCTGGCAATACAGTTTCTATCGTTGTCATGTCCAAGTCTCTCACATTCCATGTTCTTGCAAATGATGATTCATCTTTGCTCCCAGATAAATTTTGCATTGCACGGGTAAGTTTCTCTCTTTCATGAGTCCAGCTGGCAGGCAAATCCCTGTGTAAGGGAGGGACCCTGCTGTTACCTCGATTGCATGACTCAGTATAGACCTTCCCCAGCAAGTGCAGGGAAAGTCGTTGTAAGACATGCATATATGTCATCTTTGAAGACTGAAACTATGAAACGCATGGAAATTTATTATGCCAAAAGCTTGTGAAGTGACCAAAATTCAGATTGTTACAGTACTCCAAAATCTACAGTCCTACTGGCAAAATAAGAAGCAAAAGCAATTTTCAATTAATTCATTCCTTCTCCCCTCCAAAAGAAGAAAAAAAAAAAAAAAATAGGCAAAACCTTTTGGTTCCCCTGCCAAGTTTTCAGAAAAATAATATATATGTGGAATAAATTTTCAGAACTAAAATCTAGGTTAATCAGAGACAGATCACTGAAATGAATTAAAGTCTACGACTTGCACTGACTATGAAAGAATCAACTGGGTGTTTATCACAGTACCAAAAGGAAGGCAGGCTTTTTGTTTGTTGGTTTAAACAACAACAAAAAAAATAAATTAAAAAAAAAGTAGTTAAATATAGAGCTCTAACCCAGGATGTCATAGGTGCTTGTGTAAAATTGGATTCAAACCACAACTTGACAAATTAATAGAAAAAGAAGATCTGCAGATTTTTCTAGGCTTTGGGAAAGCTTTCTGAATTTAAAAAGAAAAAAAAAAAGATTTGGAAATGCAGATAGAGTGTATGCTTTGGGCGTTAGAAAAAAAGCATGGACTTTCTGAGAGTGCATATTAACCTAGCAATGCCTATGAAGTCTGAGAAACGTTTGAGGAACAAGATGGGGACAGGGAGGCAGAAATTTGGTTTCTTTTTATTGACTTTTGTATCTTCTTTTCAGAACAGAAAGGCGAAACACCAGTGTTTCCATACAGAAATTACGTCTTTCAAATACAGATAAAACGTGCAAGACTTAAGAAGGTATCAGACCTTGGGAATGATTTTCAAAAGCAGAAATTGGAATAAGAAAAATCAAGTTGGGTGTCAGCTTGGTATATCTGCCTCTGAAAAACCTCCCTCTGTATATTTAAGACAGGGGCAGCGAAATACTTTTCTGGCAGAATTTGCTGTTGGGAGGACAGGATCATCCTCAGCACAGGCATTAGATTTCAGCAAGCACAGTTCTGCAGCTGGAGACTGTTTTTGTTTTAAGTCCATATAATTCTGTGCAGTGAATGAAATCCCAGCAAATTCCACAATATTAACTACAGTGTATATATGTATATACATACATATATATATAAAAAAAAAAAAAAAAAACAACATGCAAGCCTTTGAAAAAATTAAGATCAGAATCAAGAGCAGCAATTAAACTTTTACTACAAGAAGATTTTGTTCCTGTAATTGACAATACACATTTTTTATTATGCAATAATCATCATGCTCGTGAATGGAAACTCAGCATATTTCCTGAAATATAATGTTGTGTCATACATTCACATTATAAACTAAAAAGATATTCAAATACATGTAATCTAGCACATAGTTCTCACTGTAAAAATCTATCTTCCATACAGGTCAGAGAACTTTAGGCTGAAACCAAGATGAGTCTGAACATGATGACAATCAAGCAGGAAGGGGAAAGGGAAAGAGGAGAGCAAAGAGGAAGAAAAGAAGAAGAAAGCAGAGAAAGAGAAAAGCCTAGCTGCTTTCCAGATGGATTTACATAAGATAGTATAAAATGTTGCACCTGGAATGGCAGGGACCACACCCAGCAACTGTTCTTGTGTCTTGCAAAATCTTTGCTTCCAAAAGCCGTTAGGTGATATTTATAGTCTACATTGTTCATCCACATACTGAGTGACACTATTATATTATTTTAGCTTGATATTTTCTGATCAGGTGCCCTTTAGAAACATCTTGTATTTAAAACAGATTTCTTATACTCACTTTAATAGGACTTTTAATAAGACAATAATCTGTGCAAAAAATACTTGTCACTCCTCAAATACTTCCTCCTTCTCTGCACCTACCTGCTTACTGAGTCACAGCAGCAGCTCTGATGCTGTAGTTTTTGAATTCCCTCTTCAGTATCATCAATCAGAACCAGTCAGAAACTCTAATGGCCAAAAGTGGAGGATTTTCTTTATGATCAGGTACTTTTCCTACTGTTTTTAAATACGTGGGAGACATTCTATTTGCTTTTTGGTTCTGGAGCCCTTAGGACACAGGTCTCCAAGCTTCATTGGCAGCCATGTATGCTAGAAAAGGTTTTGTAATGAAAGCTAAGCTTCTCATGTAATCATGTGATTCAAGCAATGAAGGCTTTAGTGAAAAATATTGAGAGATTTACAGTAAATTAATGGAAGCTGACAACACTGTGTGGATCCTGGGGAGATTATACAGTCTCCAAGAAAGGTATATGAAAAATACAAGTGATCATCAAGTTAAGATTAGGCCTGTCTAGATACAAAGTAAACACCATAGAAATTTTGTAATAGGTGGTGTGTGAAACACTACCAGCCAAGCAGTTCTCAATGGAAGCTTAATTATTTCAGAATGATGTAACCACTAAACAATTATTTAGCATTTTCAGGACAGGAAGGTGTTGGTCTAATGGGCCAGCAGATCAAAAGTTGTCATTTTCCCATAAAAAGGAAAGTAACCCTAAACATAATGTGACCAGTCTCGGCACTGCCCAGGCAAAATATTTCACCTGGCACTATCTCCTCCAGGACTGGGCTATGCCCATAAATCCGGAGGTCCTCACTGTCCCTGCCAAAGCCGCGGGCTAAGGGAGCTGCTGTCAGACTCTCACAGAAGC